AAAAAAAAAAAAAAAAAGAAAAAAGAAAAATTAGGCTCGGTGCCTATAACTCAGTAGCTAGGGCACCAGCTACATACACGAGAGCTGGCAGGTTTAAATCCAATCTGGGCTTGCCAAACAACAATGACAACTACAACCAAAAAATAGCCGGGTGTTGTGGCAGGCACCTGTAGTCCCAGCTACTTGGGAGGCTGAGGCGAGAGAATCGCTTAAGTCCAAGAGTTTAAGGTTGCTGTGAGCTGGGACGCCTGGGATGCCATGGTACTCTACTGAGGGCAACAAAGTAAAACTCTGCCTCAAAAAAAAAAAAAGAATTAGCCAGGAGTGGTGGCGGGCACTTGTAGTCCCAGCTACTGGGGAGACTGAGGCAAGGATCACTTGAACCCAGGAGTTTGAGGTTGCTGTGAGCTAGGCTGATGCCATGGAAATCTTAGCCTGGGCAACAGAGTGAGACTCTGTCTTAAAAAAAAAAGAAAGAAAGAAAAGGAGATGAAATGTGATTTGCTGTTCACCCGTCATGAGAAAAAAAGGGCTACACAAATCAAAATGTTCAGAAGACAACAAAGAAAGGAGAGAGAAGAGAAAGAAAAAAGAAAGAGGGAAGGGAATGAAGGATAGTTACAGCAGCAGGAAAGAAGAGAAGCAGAGAGGAGCAAGAGGTAAGTGCACAGAAGAAACAGTCGCAAGAGAAAAGAGAGAAGAAAAAATTTAAACCAACTCAGAAATCAGATAAACACTTAGCACAGAGGAAAACAGTCTTCAAGGTGTAGGAGTTCAGAAGGACACCACTGCAGCACAGGTGACTCTAACCGAGGAGTAAGATTAAATTATACTGTTCTTTCCAGTCATCAGGTCAATGTTTACTGAACCAACAAGGTGCTGGGCAAGGTATATACTGAAGTACTTGATAATTCTTGAAACATTTTACCAAAAAACATAAAGCTCAAGTGAAAAAGGAGAAACCTGGAATAGTAACTTGTCATTAACTAGAAATCTTTTAAAAAGCTCAATATGTGTAACAACTGGCCACTAATTTAATACAAATAAAAAAGTAAAAACATGATTCAGCTATCCAAATAACCAGTCTACCTTTCCAAGCCAAAAATTAAAGCACAGTCACCTTGAAATACGTACAGACTCACCATCAGTGGCAGCAATGGTAAACTCGTCACCACAGGAAACCCTGATCACTTGCTTCCCACCTAAGGGTCCCCCCAATAGATTGATGCCCAGACGCTTCTTGTAATTCCCAACGCCCAACTGCCCACACTTGTTGCAGCCAAAGGTCAGCAGCCGGCCTCGCTCTGATAGAAAAGGGAAGATAAATAACAAGGCACAAATGGGTCATGGAACAGTGAGAAGATGCAGCCCATGCAGAGTTCCATAGGCTAGCTTCCGCTTGTTAGAACACTCAAATAGAAAGCTAGCCAGAAGATCCTGCATCTACAGCACTGAGGGTATCTAGACACACACTCAATTAGACCAGTTAGTGACTATATTGTATTTTTTCTCTAGTATTGCACTATTTTTAATGTGGAAAATGGATATTAGCTTAGAATACTTGTGGGAGGTAATTAAAGACAACAGATGTCCGGAACTGTAGGTGTGGTATTCTCGTTAAAGGATGTATTTATCACACATTTATAAAGTTTATCAACAAAAATGTGCACTTGAATAACTAACTTGATAATGAAAGAGATAATCCTGGATATGAGGTGCAAATCAGAAAGATGTATATACTGTTAAGAAAAGCTAACACTTGATAGAATAAAAGAGCCTGAGCTATGAAGGCATGTAATACAGTCATAATCAACTCACCATCAATTGCGGCTGTGTGAGTCTTGCCTGGGGCAATGGTACGGATCTTATAAAAGGACAACTGTTTGGCCAAGGTAAAGGAGGTTGTGTAGGGAACTTCATGGTAAGCCTGAAACAAGGTAAAAAACAAAAATTAGTTTTAAAAAAATGCAGGAATAATCAGGCTAAGAATGGGCCATGGTGACCAAAAGGCAAGTCATATTACTAAGAACAAAGTGCCAAGTATTTTCCATCTCCTGCAGAATACAAGAAGAAATAAGCTCAATATGTAACCAGAGAATTCAGCACATGAAGTGGAATTTTCTTTTTTTTGTTGAGACAGAGTGATCTTACGTCGCCCTCGGTAGAGTACCATGGCATCACAGTTCACAGCAAACTCTAACTCTTGGGCTTAAGCGATTCTCTTGCCTCAGCCTCCTTGTAACTGGGACTACCAGCACCCACCACAACGTCCAGCTATTTTTCTGTTGCAGTTGTCATTGTTGCTTAGCTGGCCCAGGCTGGGTTTGAACCTGCTAGCCTCGGTGTATGTGGCTGGCACCATAATAACTGTGCTACGGTGCTAAACCTGAGGTGGAATTTTTTGACAACAAAAATTTTAGATTCTGGGGTGGTGCCTGTGGCGCAGTGGGTAGGGCGCCAGCCCCATATACCAAGGGTGGCGGGTTTGAACCCGGCCCTAGCCAAACTGCAATATAAAACAAAACAAAACAAAACAAAAAACAGCAGGGCGTCATGGTGGGTGCCTGTAGTCCCAGCTACTCAGGAGGCTGAGGCAAGAGAATTAATTGCCTAAGCCCAGGAGTTGGAGGTGGTTGTGAGCTGTGACACCACAGCACTCTACTGAGGGTGATAAAGTGAGACTCTATCTCTAAATATATATATATATATATTTTAGATTCTGGACAAGGCACAGTGGCTCACGTCTGTAATCCTAGCAATCTGGGAGGTCAAGGAGGGAGAATTCCTTGAGAACAGGAGTTCAAGACCAGCCTGAGCAAGAGCAAGACTTTGTCTTCACTAAAATAGAAAAATTAGCCAGGCATGGTGGCGAATGCCTGTTGTCCCAGCTACTTGGGAGGATGAGGAAGGACTACTTGAGCCCAGGAGTTTGAGGTTGCTATAAGCTAGGCTGACACCATGGTACTCTAAGCCAGGTGACAGAGTAAGACTCTTTCTCAAACAAGTTTTCAATTCTGAATTAGGTTATCCAAAACATGAACTCTCTATCTCAGAAGGTATTTATATTAGGATTAGAATCATTGACATTTGTCTTGGTTGTAACTTGCCATACTTACAAAGACAGAGAAAAGAATTAAAATCCTAAAGACTCTTCAGCCCATAAAGCAATTAGTTTCCTCTGATCTAATTTCATCTACAAGGTAGAATTTCTCAACTTTTTGTTAAAACCCATATTCCCTGTAAATTAGCATAAAAAAATTCTCTCTTGTGAGTTTAAAATTTTACAACAAATCTAACGTCATAACAAAAACACAAATCAAGTAATGGTAATTCTGAATATGCCTTTTCAAACTACGAAGACACTATCTTCAGCCTTACCTTCAATCTGTTCTCTCCTAATTGAGAATACTATTTCCAAGACTACTTAAAAATTAATTTTTACCTTTTTCATTAAGAAAACTTGTCTCTTGGCGCCAGCCACGTACACCTAAGGTGGCGGGTTCGAATCCCCAGCCCGGACCGCCAAACAACAATGGCGGCTGCAACCAAAAAATAGCCGGGCGTTGTGGAGGGCGCCTGTGGTCCCAGCTACTTGGGAGG